GGGGGGGGGGGGGAATATATATAGGGAATCCCGGAACTTTTAAACTTTCAAAATATAACAAAGATTATTGCTGTGTGCAACGAGCAACGAGCCAATACCATTTAACTTATTAGTGACGTCACACTACATAAAGAAATTCTTCGTGCGATATGCACATTACATTCTTATCTACTTACGTGGGTGATCGTGCTGCTGTATAATCGTCCGAACATAATTTCAGGTATCTCTTTCAAATTTAACTTTCATTTACCGAGAACTTTCTTTAAAGTTACATTTCTACAAATTAAAGTTAATTTATTCTTATTTCATTATCTATGATTAATGCAAATTAAAAGCCACCAACGAGTGATTAAATAGCGATAACACGCCAGATAGTTAACCTAGCTTAGCCAGTCGAGTTTTAAAAGCAATCATAGTTAATTACTATATAATTTTAATACAATTTTAATATAATCTATAATCTGTAAATACTGTATATAATATATACAGTATTATATTATTAATTTTACAGATATTATTTATCATATGAATATATATCTATAAAAGACTACGCGTGGAACTTGCCGAAATGTACAAACATTTTTTAGCGCGACATATAACGCGTTACAATGGACAATGGTACTGTTACTTATGCAAGTTGGAAAATTTAACAGACGTTGAACGTCATTTGCAAGAAGTTCATTCAGATATCCACTTTCAAATCTCAGATTTTCCTGATAATTCCAGCAAATTGTCAGATACGAAATGCAAACATTTATTATATCATGGAATAGCAATGAAAGATATATTAAAAAACTCTAATACAAGGTATTTTTGTGTACCGTGCAAATGTTTGATACCCACTTTAGAACATGTTAATCAACATGTGAGTGGTAAACAACACAAAAAATATATAAACGATACTAAACCAGAAGATTTTTCAAATGAGCAACAAAACTTAGATAAAAATATAAACAGCAATGTTTTTGTTAATGTAAAAACTGAAACGGAATTTATAAGTAACTCAAATTTTTTTGCAAAAATACAGCCAGTTTGTAAAAATAAATTAGCAAAAGATAACTTGACAAATGGCTCTGAGAAAGAAGAGGAAGAGGAAGAGGAAAGTGTAGCTTCCTCTGAATCTTACAAGAAGGATCGTAATAGCAATAATGTTTTGCAAATTGAAAGATGTGTGAATATGAGTTTTTGTATTTTGTGTGATAGATTTGACCATAAACTTACTATGGAGGAACATATACAAGAAAAGCAACATATATCTGCATTAAAAATCTTGAAGCGAGAATCGATACGCATCATAAACTTGGATAAAGATAGAAAGACTATTAAGCCATTGCAGTTGAATAGTAGAAAATTAGATGGAACAATGTGGCCAGAATACAGGAAGACTACATCAAGATATACTTGTGATCAATGTAATATGGTGATAAAAGAAAATGATATAATAAATCATGAAGTAACAATACATAAAGAAAGCATGATGTCTTGTATGAAAGACATCCATGATTTGACTTTGTCTGTAAATGAAAAAAAAATTAAAATTAATATTTCCAGTTATTACCCAATGTTTAAATGCTCGTTTTGCAATGAGATAATACATGGCATATCAATGTTAGAAATTCATTTTTCTAAATGTCAACATAAGGAAAATATTAAATTGTTAATTAAAACTAAAAAACAAGAATATAATTGCTCTGAAAATGTAGAAAGCTTTTTTGAACTTCTCGAATTTTTAAATTTGATTTCTTTTGAAAATAATGGCGACACTGTACAAACTATGGAGCAACCTGTGATGTATATTAAAAATCATCGTGCATCTTTCAAAAAAAATTCAGATGACTTGATTGAGAATAAATTTACTTACATTTGCATTGCCTGCAAAGTTAAAATTTATACAATCGAAGATGTATTTAATCATTTAAGTACAAGGGGAAGACATTTGAAACACTTCCAAAATATTTTGCTGACATATAATCATATACATAATATATGTACTGCAACAAAAGAACTTGGTATAAATAAAACACAAGCAGCAGACTCTCTAATTTGTACTGAGGAAACATTCATCGATACATTGGAAGAAGAAAATATTAATAAAACGCAAGCAGAACATTATATTGATAATAATAGCGACCTAATAGCTAAAATAAATACTGATAGCAAAAATGACATATCTCAAAGTAGAGAAAGCAATTCTGGCTTATTTATGTCTCCTGATATATCTTTAGAAATGAAGAAATTAACTACAAATTTTTCATATAAGTTTTTACAAGCTAGAAAAAAAAATAATGTCTTGGATCGTTATAATAGAATGTATTATAAAAAATTTCTAGATTTTGAGGAAATTATGTTTACTTACAGTCAGAACAAGCTGAATGAGATTAAATTAAGTTTACAATTGTACGCTCCCAAATGCGAAAGTATGCTTTGTGTTGTATGTAATGTTACACATTCGTACAATATACATAGATTGTACGAACATATTAGTTGTGAACGACATATTATGCAACTTACACAACTGCATAAGAGCAGCGAAGAACAGAGACTGAAATTACTGAAAGAATTAATCAAGGTAGAGTATACAAAGATGGAATGTTACGCTTGTGATAAAAATATAAAGTGGATACAGCTTGGTGAATCCTGGATCATGGAACATATGTATTCTCCTAAACACAAGAAGAATCGCGAAAAGTCATTCAAGGAAGTTGGAAATGTACTACAAGGATTCAATACTTTATGGTACAATATCCAATACTTTGCTTGCGTCGAGTGTAATATAAGATTCAAAATAAAAATGGAATTTATGGAACATCTTGACAAAAATCATAGTACACTTCTAAAAACAAAAGATAATTCAAAATTTGATTTCTGCTTAACATGTGCCACTTTGTGGTATAAAGATCAAGATTCAATTTATCGACAACACTGTCAAAAACAGACGCATCAATATTTAGCAAAAAGTAATGACTTTGCAATTACATTGTTGCCAGAATCTTTGCAAGAATTATTAAAAAATGTTAACGAAACTGTTATTGATCTATTTTATTTATCGAATGATGCATTATATGATTCAAAAACAATTACTCTCATGAAGGATTTAAAGGATACTTTCAAAACTCAAGAGTTTCATGTAGAAGAAGTGTGTATGTTTGGTTCAAGAGTTACTGGTTTAGCATTGCCCAACAGCGATATCGACATATATCTTAACTTCAGTAAATATATATTTGTTTCATATATTTTTTTACACACATACACACACACACACCTATACACACACACACACACACACACAAAGCATAAAGCTGTAAAAAATTTGTTTATAAGAAATACCGACATAAAAAAAAAAAATTACAAAAAGAATTTTCTGTACTAGATGATGAATGTACTAATGCTGAAGTAATTAAAAACAGAAGTAAACAAATTCAAAATTGTTTGCATACTGATGGTGAGAATTGGGAAATAGAATTAACTTTGGACAACAGCAGAACACCCATAATAAAATTGAAGCACAGACAAACAGGATTACAGTGCGATATCTCATTTACAAATGGCCTTTCAGTCGAAAATTCTAAACTTATCAAGTATGAGAAGTATTGTATTTTTAAGAAAGTGTTTGTGATTCTTGTAAGATATACTTCATGAAATTCTTCTTCAACTTTTAGGTCTTTTAACACAGCATATCCGCCTTGTCGAAAATTAATATTGTTTCTGAAAAAGTGGATCTTGTTGGGCAATTTGGCTGGTCCTGATGGAATAACAAGCTATGCTCTCACCTGGCTAGTCATCTTTTATTTACAAGTCAAATATAAAATACCGAGTGTTGCTGCTTTAATTAAAAGCCATAATCAGTCAAAAATTGTATCTGGTAAGTTTTCATTCAGAATAATATATCCATATAGTCTATATATGAAATTTATGTGATGGGAAAAGAGAGATTATCTCGTTTATTTTACAATAATAAATTGTATTTCTACATATTCTTTTTCTAGTGTTCATAGCACATAATTTACATCTTATTATGTATTTTAGGCTGGGAAACTGGAGTCGGTAATAATGTTCCTATCAACGTACCTGAATTATCGATATATGAATTATTATTAGGATTTTTTGAGTATTACGGATGCTTTGATTACATGCATAATGTTGTATGTCCATTGTTAGGCGTCACATGCCGTAAGGAATTCTTTACAGAAGTATTATCGGATTTACCGGATACCATGGCACTTTACATTGCGCAATTGCGAAGTGCGAAACCGGAATACTTTCGTATTGATTCATCTATGTGTGTGCAAGATCCATTCGATCTTTCGCACAATTTAACAAAGGCTGTGCCAGTTTTAACGCTTAGATGCTTTAAACAATATTGTAATAAAAGTGCATCGGTGTTACGTAATCGTTGGAAGTTAAGATCGTCGAAAACGAGTTAATATTTAATTATATAGAATCATCTTTTTTAACCACTGATTAATCATGATAAAGATCAATGTATTTTTATGACTCGACTATCGATTAATGATCTAACATTGCAAATGTTTCACGAAAAATGATAAAACTAATTTTCTAACTATACATATTTCTTGTAATAACTATTCTGATTGTGATAAAGTATTATATAGTATTATATAAAGTACTGTACAATATTATATATTATAGTACCAACTCTTGCAATTTTGTTCATATTTTTAAAAGATTTCGAAGATAATTCTAGGAATAACGTTTTTTTCTTTTTTCTTTTTTTAAGAAAATCTTTTAAATTTAATTGATACTTTTAAAATAAATGCGACGAATTGTGAACAGCTCTCATACGAATGGTAATATAAATCGTGTTTTATATTCCATTGATCGTCATGTACTTTATACATTTGATTAGATATCTTAATTCTATGTTTGATTTTTATACATTTGGTTAGATATCTTAATTTTATGTTTGATTTTCTTATCTTCAATGCGCATTTATGTGCACTTATTACCTGATTATTATTCTCTTATATTTAATATATATTTACTAGAATAAAATTTTTATTGTTATCACAGGATGTCTAAGAAAACTTTCAGTGATATTCCAAAAATTATCACTTTATATTTCAACGAAAATGTAAAGTATAATATGTAACATATGATTTTTGTAATACGGTTTTATTTTATATATTTTGATAATCATATAATCATAGTCGATTGAAGTTGTTGCGACAAAACTTTTATTAATTTATAACATTATAATCATTGAAAGCAATGTGATTCTTAGAGTGTATTTTGTGATAGTGTTTCAGAAAACATTTCTCATTGAAATATTATATATAATTTTATATTGTATTTTTTTATATAAAAGGAATGTATATAAACTCTTTTTATCATTTTATTGTTTAGTTTTTAAAACTCCTGTGTGTCCTCACTGCAGTCATAATTCAGTACAATGTTAATAAGGGACCAGAAATCTTGATCATGTATTTGTTAATCAATGTTTATCTTATTGTCCTATTTTTATAACATAATTTACCAGATTAAGAAATTAATTAACTTTTGATAATAGAACAATTCATACAATTAAAGTGTAAGATGTGTAATATTTAAAAAAAGATCTTTTAAATGAGCAAGGCGAATACATTCATGTGTTCTGATTTATTCTCGAATCAGTTTCTTTTCATACAATATCTTGCTTCCATATATATTCTCTTACATATTTACCATTAGGTACACAAGATTGCTTGCATGTGAAAACTGCCAATATTCCCCAATCAAGATACTTGACAATGTCTTTCAAACCCAGGAAATTTAATAGTTGTGGCATTATCTGCAAATTGTTTCATAAATAGTATGGGCAACATATATAACACGCAGAAATTTATGTACACAATTTGTCTTTTGAATCTTAATATAAATTGTGAATCATTATTTTCCATCCCAGTATTTATTATATAAGTAAACTCTACATACTTGAAATTCAAATTGTCTATTGCCATTGCATTCTGAACATTTCGGTATATCTATTATCTGGTTATGTTGTGATATGTATAGAACTTTTCCTCCTCTATCATATCTAGTAAATAAATACAGATTAATATACAGATTGTTATTATAAATTTCTCTAATTGTTCTACAAAGAAACATATACCTTAAAATTTGATCTGGATAATTATCTGTTCTCATACGAAATTCTGCAAATATTTCATCTTTTTCGTCGTTAGCTATCTGTAGTAAATCGTCATTAACGTCTTCATGCTGAAGACTTCCAGCTTTGCCATTTTGAATCATAGCATTATATTTTTCAATCTCCTTCTGCTCGCTTTCAAGATCATCTTGCTCGATATCTTTTGTCAAATCGTCGCTCTCTATTACAATCTCGTATTCGGGAAACAAGAAATTATTATTATTATTTGCTTCAGTACCACATATATGTTTATGTCCATTCTTCCAGTCATATACTTGATGTACACGACAACAATAATTGACGACTTTACATTTGCCGCAGTGACTCGGTGCTGCAATCCCACATATACAACATGTTTTAGCCCATTGTGACACATCTGAAAGCAACGAAATATACGATATTATTCCGCATTGTTCCATGTCATTGGAAATAGATAATTTTTTGTATTACGATACTTACCAATGTCTGTCCTCCAGTCCTTCTGCTCGACAGGCGGTTCAGACGGATAGAAAGTATTGACTCTACTCAACTGCGATCGAAAAACTTTTAAATTTCCATTTTGATTCGGTCTGCAGCAATCTGTGTTCTTGCATACAAAAATATATATAGTCCTGTGAAACGCATCGGCGTTTTCTTCGTATGGTGCGTAGATCTGGCATAGAAATACGCAAACATCATTGCAATACTCGCATTCTAGATCACTTTTACCGGGAATATTTTTCAGCTCGAGCCAGGCCGGCTTACCGCCCACTTTACTAGGAAAAAATCTGCTTGTCAGTCGCCACGATTCGCATGTCTGCACGAATCCTAAATCGATTGCCATATTTAAGACAGATAATAATACAGCTAAAATTGCAACAGAAATTTGTCAAAATAAATATATATTTCTATAGATGTATATATTTCTCAAGACAAATGTTTTTCTCTTTTTTTTAAGTGTCAAATCTGACAGATATGATAAAACAATTTCAAACACGTGCTCGCTCCAGCTTTTGTAAACTTTATTGGTCATTTACAATACTAAAGCCAGTATCAGATTATGCGTTGAAGATCGAGATTAAAGATTGAAGATAGAAATACGGCCAATCAGGGTATCGAGTCTGTAATTCAAATGAGAGTGAAAATTACAAAAATGAGCGAATTTACTAGATTTCGACCAATGAAATTATAAATTTTCTAGTAAAATCGCTCATTTATTAGAACATTTATAATTTCATTGGTCCTAAAAAATAACTAGATGTGCTAATCGCTATTTTATGTCACTAGCGCTACTATCTGCATCGAAACTTCGTGATTCGCACTTCTTGATATTATATGCATGCTGTTGTATGTTGATATCTGTCATTGTGTTTAAGGTTAGCTGTCTAATCGCGGAATCCAATATCCTTGCGTTTCCGCTAATAAAAACAGCGATAAAATGACCTCCTGTTTCGAAAGCATGCAGGTTCCTTCTTGCGTTTGGTTCGAGGGCGGCGAGAAAAGAAATGCGCTTGTTTCTATGCTCGCAGGGACACTGGTAAATCTACATATTTAAGTTTATGTAGTATATATACATCTACACATTTAATATTTACTTTATTATACATATTTAGTTAGCATATATATATAAAGATACACTGTGTTTTTTATTTTTTTTTCACAGTCGATATATAAATTTCACTGGTGTTGTTTTAGTTTTTCGTAGGATGGTGGTTTATAATAGATGCGCATGCAAAATATCCAGAGGAAATGGCAAATGCGTATCATGTATGTGGAGTGTTTGGTACCATATCACTTTTTATGTAAGTAATAGATCAATAATATTGTTAGTAAAATTTTTAAAATTTTGGTATGACACTATCGTCTTATGGAAAAATAATTTGATATTCTTAGGGTCAATTCAGTGACAAATGCACAGATAAGAGGAGAAGCTTACAATGGTGGTTGTTTAGGAGCAAGAGGTGCAAGGAGTTGGCTGTTTATCGGATTTGTTATGGGATTTGCAGCAGTAATAGCAGCCTGTTGGATTTTATTTGCTAATTTTGTGGCTGCAGGTATTTTCTGTCTTATATAAGTGTTGCTTACATGTAAAATAGTCATACCAAAAGAAATACGTTCTATTATATTTTTATAGGTGCACAACATCATTGGCCAGGTGTGGGATTGTTCCTACAAAATGTGTTTATTTTCTTGGGCTCACTCACATATAAATTTGGTCGATCTGAGGATCAATGGGGTTAAGAGACATACCGTTGATTGAAAATATTTTTACTACTATAAGCACACGACGCAAAACTCGACTGAAAAAAATCGTGAAATTAATACCCTGTATTGCTTCGAACATAAAATCCAACTCAACTACAACATCACTCTATTGCTATAAATATTATATAATAATTTTTATTTATATTCATTGGAGTTGAGAGTGATTACATGTTATATGTATATGTGAGATTTATGATAATCTAAAAAAGTAAGATTAGATTATAGCTTTTTCTGTGTGATAGAATTACATGCTAGTTATATTTTGCTAATAACTTTGATCATATCAGAAATTTTTTAATCTTTGTATTCATTTTATATTTTCTCATTTTGTTGCGAATGTATATCTTGCATTTGAAATTTTTACAAAGATAATTTCAATTATCTGATATCTCGAAATTAAATAAATAGAACATGTTTTGAAACATAATTGAAGATTAGCTCATCGCTGTTTTTTAATTGAAATTGAATAGTGAAATCTTTTTCTCAATATGATTAATTTATTAATGTATTAATTTTTTAATTTATCTATTATCGATTTTTCAGTTTCGATAAATCTAAAGATCTATCTATATCGGTTAGCAATACAAAAGCTATACAAAATAAATGTACATACAGAGAAACTAAATTATTATGTATTAATATATAAAAACACAACAATGCAACATTCTTTATTTTATATTCTTGATTGTATGAGGTGGAGTTAAAACTATCAGACTATGTATTAAAAATTGAAAATTGCAGATAAAAAATTGAAATTTGACTGATCAGAACAAAAGAAGCTAAAAAAAATAAAATAAAATAAAAATTTCCTGATGGGTCAAATTTTAATCTTCAATGCATAGTCTGATACGGGCTTCATGCACATTCGTGGATATGCCTTAAGGGCTAGAAAATAGCCATCATACACACACTCACGCACTTTTTAATATCGCGCATCATCGACACTTGGAAATTAGCAGCGCAGATCGCGCGAGAATTGGTTCCGATTTGCCAACGCGGACCAATGCGAGCCAAGCACTCGCTCGCCTTTTTACCAATCGCAATGTGCCACACCGACACATGGTGTGCTGCGAAGCGAAGTTTCACGGTGAGCGGCGGAAGAAAGATTACGATTTTAGACTTTTGTTGATTTATAAGAAAAGGTTGCAGTACACGTACGTATATTCTAAATGGTATACAGCTGAGAATCATCCTCGAGTAACGTGTCGTCAAAACGTGGATGCAGGGTGAGTGCGCGTCATTAATTTGTACTATTTTGCAATTGACATATTTTACGGTGCCGGTATTCATAACCAAAATCATCAAAATTGACAGTTCGATTCTGCCTTTTGTATCAATCCAGCATTAATATATGTTAATGAATCTCTGAATTTTTACAATATTTCTTTCGCTGAAAAAGGTATATCTTGAATTCGTTTCATTTCCAGATGGAGTTTTCACAGAGAAGTGTGTCGATGGCGTCGTTAGCTTTACTCATCATCGCTACTTTCATCGGTATTAGCGAAGAAGTTGCTGTTATGAGCATCGACCTTGGTAGTGAATGGATGAAGGTCGCTATTGTTTCGGTACGTAAATCGAAATAATCGTATTTGTACAATGATTCTGTATTTAACTTATAGATTGATGTATTAAAAAACTTAATCGAACATGTTGGATATACTTTTGTATTTAAAAGATCAATTATATTCCTTTTTTAATTCCTTGTTTACTTTATAGCCTGGTGTTCCTATGGAAATAGCATTAAATAAGGAATCGAAGAGGAAAACACCAGTTGCGATTGCGTTCAGAGATGGGGAAAGATCTTTCGGCGAGGATGCTCAAGTGGTCGGAGTGAGATTTCCCCAGAACACTTTTTCCTACATCCTAGATCTTATAGGAAAGCCTATAGACAATCCACTAGTACAACTTTATCTGAAGAGATTTCCTTACTACAATATTGTTGCTGATGATCAGAGGGAAACCATAGCGTTTAAGTTAAATGAAAATACAACATATACTCCAGAAGAGTTACTCGCACAAATACTGCACAAGGGCAAAGAGATCGCGGAAACCTCAGCCCAGCAAAAGATAAACGAGGCAGTTATCACCGTGCCAGGATTCTTTAATCAGGCCGAGAGGAGAGCCTTGATTCAAGCGGCAGAACTTGCCGGATTGAAAGTATTACAACTCATAAACGACTATACAGCGGTTGCTTTGAACTACGGCGTATTTGGCAGAACTGAAATAAATGATTCTGCGCATTACATTATGTTTTACGATATGGGAGCTAGTAGCAGTACCGCAACAATTGTCAGCTATCAAAACATGAAAACGAAAGAGAGGGGTTTTGTCGAGACGAATCCTCACGTTAATGTTTTGGGTGTGGGATATGATCGTACACTTGGCGGACTAGAAATGCAAATTAGATTGCAGAATTATCTAGCAAAAGAATTTGATGCTCTAAAAAAGACACCAAATTCGGTGTTTACGAGTCCGAGAGCGATGGCAAAGCTCTTTAAAGAAGCTGGACGCGTCAAAACTATACTCAGTGCCAATGCAGATCATTATGCCCAGATAGAAGGCTTAATAGATGACATTGACTTCAAATTTCAAGTCACGAGAGAAAAATTGGAGGAGATATGCGCCGATTTATTTGAACGTATAACAAATCCTGTGAAGCTTGCTTTAGAAAGTTCAGGTGAATATTCTTCTATAAGTAGAACATATAATTGTGATTCTTTCTCTCTCTTTTTCTCTCTTTCTCTTTCTTGCAATAGCCAAATATTTTTGTAAACACTAAATATAAAATTGTTTCAGCTTTGACAATGGATGTTATATCACATGTTGTACTGGTAGGAGCAGGTACTCGTATGCCAAAAGTACAAGAAATATTGTCCCAATATGTAAAAACAGAATTGTCAAAGAATATAAATACAGATGAAGCAGCTGCTTTAGGAGCCGCATACAAAGCAGCTGATCTCAGTCAGGGTTTTAAAGTCAAGAAATTTATCACAAAAGATGCCATACTATTTCCAATTCAAATCACTTTTGATAGATATACCGATAACAAAATTAGACAGGTATAAGCTATATGATCTTTTACCGTATTTCAAAAAATTCTTTGAATAACTATATTATATAAAATTACATATTTTTCAAAATTTATCCTTTTGTACAGGTAAAAAAGACATTATTTGGAAAAATGAATCCTTTTCCACAAAAGAAGATTATTACATTTAATAAGCATACACAAGATTTCGATTTTCGCGCAAATTACGCTGAATTAGATTATTTACCTCCTATAGAAGTAATGTAAGTATCTGTATAGTTTTCATATTTATTTTTATATTAGGAATAAATTATATTTCAAGTATTGATATTGTTATGTTTAAAACTATAGTGTTTAAATTTTCTTGCAGATCTATTGGAGATCCAAAAATAACCACTATATTCTTGAGTGGTGTAACTGAAGCTTTAGAAAAGCATGCTAAGGAAGGTGCTGAAAGTAAAGGAATCAAAGTGCATTTTAATATGGATGATAGTGGCATACTGAATTTATTGAATGTGGAACTAGTGTCGGAAAAATTGAGCACTGTTGTTGACAAAGAAGAGGGTACTTTCTCAATACTTGGCTCAACTATTAGTAAATTTTTTGCAGGTTTGTGCTGAGCAATGCAAAAAATGATGCTATTAATTTCTGTTATATGTATGGATTTCAATTTGGATTATATTTGCACGATTATAGTTCTATTTACACGATTATAGTTCTTTTTTATATACTCTTAGTGTATATTAAAGAACTATTATTTTTCAAAAAAATTATTGTATTATTTGTATGTGTAATGAAAACAAGAATGCAAAAATATTATCTCATATTTCATTTTGATATCATTTTTTGCAAGCATTTTTATGATAATAAGATTTGTATAAAATAGAGATATATAATAAAAAGCACAAATAACAATATGATTGAATGAAGTTCAGATTGTATTGTTGCGCTGATAATTAAATGCACTGTAAATATAACTTTTTGAAAATTTATGTATATAAATTTTGATAGAACAGATCTTGTATTTTATACATACATTTTTTACTTATGAAATGTGTGCATTATTCTATTAAATATTATTTAAGATTGAACTTTTAGAAGTCTTGCATTTATGTATCAGCGACACAAAAAATTTTAATCATTGTTCATATATTATCCAAGTATAGAAAAAGATACATCATAAAATCTTTCAGGTTCTCATGAGCAAGAACCATCAGAAAAAACGGAAGAAGCACCGAAAGAGGATATAAAACCAGTACATGAAGAACCAGAATCTCCAGAGCCTTCAAAGGACACAGAGGAGAAGGAAAAGAAGAAAAACGAGACGAAAATGGACGAAGATAAAGCTCCAAATAAGACTGAGAAGGCCGATAAAGAAAAAAAATCTACCATTATTCAAATCAAAGAACCTATCAGTTCAAACGAGATCAAACTAGGATCACAAATCTTGTCCGGCAAAAAACTCACAGAAGTTCGAGAAAAGTGAGAGCAAAAATATATTTTATATATATTCGCAACATTTGTGTATGATATATAAATAAAAAATTACATCTTTGAAGCGTTATATATCATATCAATACAAGTTGACATAATTAATTAATATTGTTTCATTTGAAAGCTCAAATCATCTAATATTTGGCATAATTATATTTATATTAGTTTGATAAAATGATAAAAATGTATTGCTTTTTTTTTAGAATACATCATTTGAACGTGTATGATTCTGAAAAAGTGCGTCGAGAGACCGCGTTAAATAATCTCGAGTCGTATGTAATCGACGCGCAGCAGAAGCTCGATTCCGAAGAGTATTCGGTTGCAGCTACTAACAAGGAGGCCGAAGAAATCCGGGAAGCCTGCGCCGAGATCTCCGAGTGGTTATATGAGGATGGATTTACCGCGACCGCGGAAGTATACGAGGAGAAATTAATGAAATTGCAAAAGCTAACCAACGACGTCTATGAGAGAGTTTCTGAGCACCGAGACCGTCCAGAAGTTCTGAAAGGAATGGTTTCATTACTTAATGGCAGTAAAACATTCTTAGAGAATATGCGTAACTTGAGTTCAACGACTGAGATTATTACGCCCGTTGAAGTCGAGACGTTAGAAAGAGCGATTAACGAGACGCAGGTAACTATGTAACTGATATTTCCACCATATTTCCATTTTAAATTAATAATGCATTATGTTATTATATTTAAAATAACGATCTTTATAATACTAATGTATGATATATATAAAAAACGATACTTTTCAGGATTATTACGAAACAATTTTAAAATATTTTGCGAAAGCTTCGTTAAACGAACCAGTGAAACATAAAGTTCGCCATATTGTAAATAAAATGGAGCTACTTGACAGAGAAATTAAATATCTTGTGAATAAAGTAAAGATTTGGAGACCGAAACAGGAAACTGTGGCGAATCAAACAACTGATAGTAAAACAGAAGAAAATGAAGAATCTATGTCTGATACTGAAAATGACAAATTTACTGATGAACAAACTGCATCAGATAATGCGGAAGACCAACAAGAACCAATGCTGAAAACAAGGGACGCTACACAGGATCCATTAGTTTTATCAGAAAGCGAGGAACCACGATTAAGTGAGGAGCAAGTTCCAGAAGAAATGCATCAAGAACTATAAGAAATAATTTATTTAAAAAGAGTGTGTGATTCTATTTGTTGATCGACGATATTTGTCGATTTAGGCAATTTCTGTAGATTATCTTCATTCAATGCATTTAAAATCAAAGCGGGAATTCTTATGCATTGCTGTGGTTGGATAAATCATTCTGCGGAGGTGTGAATACAAGTTGTTTTCTCCCATTTAATTAATAATATGTATTTATACCAGGATATTCACAGTTCTATTCATTATATTAAAAGTTATTGAAAAATATTAATTTTATCAGAGACTGTTCGTGATAATTATGTTATACAAGTGCCAAGCAATAACACAGATTCAAATATCTAATTTATTTGATACGAAATTTGTTACAATTTATTAATTTATTACGAACAAAAGAGAGTATAGGCCAGTGAAAAATTTACTTCAAATCCTTACAATCCTTAACATAAATTTTCGAGCTTGCATATGAAATGTCTTTTGCTGCAAGTATATCTTTTATATATTATCACATACAGAGTTATAATATAAGGCATACTACATATTTGTTAGTAAAAATACGAATAATGAAAAAACAATTTTTTTGCATATATTTCCTAAGGAATAATATTCTTTTCTTGTAGTATATATAGTTTTATATGCTTGCATTCAAGTACTTTTCAGAGAAACTTAACTTACTCCTATGTACTCTGTATTCTATATTAAATTGTATTATTCTTTCTCATAAGTGAAGGTTCACATGCATAAGTCTCCTTTCTCTTTTTTGTTATTTATAAACGCTAATATTATAGTACTAATATATGATATTAATTATATTTTATATTAAAAATTTGCTGTGGAGAGCATATAGATAAAAATTTATCATCTAAATAATAAATTTTTATTTATATATGATCATGATAAGATTGCTTTTTCGTCTCTTTTCTTTCTATCTCTCTCTTTTTTAATGTCTAGAGAAACTCTCTGATAATAAAAAATTAGGCATTCCTAATTCAACAAATTCTTATCATTCCAATAAAGAATTGTGTAATTTTGAATGTTATTCTTGTGGTATTTATTAATTTGGATAAAAAAAAAATAAAAAATATATTAAACATTATTGTGTAGTATAAAAAATGCACTATCAAACAAAATACACTGTTATCCTCTGTGTCTTATTTTTCTTAAATATATATGTTTAATATTGTGTGTGTTATCATATGACATGTTATATACTTTTATTAGAGATCAAAAAAAATTTTTTTTTTATCATACAATTTTTAAAGATTTTCCGTAACAAATATTTTATTTATGAAAGTAAAACAAGATTTTTAAAATAAAATATATGCTCAATATTGAAAGGAAAAGAACGATTAAGTGTTAATACTTAAATCTTTGTATTTTTTCAATTTTTCAATTTTTAATTAGCTAAATCTTTATGAATTTAATATTTATTCTTGTACTTCTCTCCCACTATTGCCCGCTAACATCTGATTTTGACAAGAGAGAGAGAATGAGGTTAGGCTAGAATCTTCTGTCGTTCACGAACCGGTTTCTTTTTACGCGCGCAATGACATTCTCATTTTATATCATATATATATATGTTAAACTGTTTGGATCGAGAAAAGACTAAAAGTATAATTAAGAGTAAAAAAGTTGTCAGAGGTCATTCGATTCCAATATTAAGGAGATAGTGGTTCCGACTATCTACATAAAATTAATTATATATTATCAACAAATATGTCAAGGCGTCAAATTCTTGGAAAATTATTAAAAAATATTAGTCCTGCCATGGTAAGAATATTTGTTATAATTGTTATTTAATATTTCAACTATTATTTTCTTGCATTGCAAAAATCAATAAATTTTTTGTTTGTTTTGATACACAGTATACATCAAGTATATTATTCACCTATTGTACTTCTTCTGATAAGCCCAGTACAAATAAGAAAATACAATTTGAACCACTAGACATGAAAAAGCTAACTCACGAGTATATGATAAAACAATCTATATTGGATGCTGTTAATAGTGCAACACAGACATTAACTGTTACTTTTATGGCAATAACAGATCTGAGTATTGAATATAGGTAAATAAAAAGATAAAAGATAAGTCTGTGAAAATGACTTTTCTGTGATATAACATTTCTGTGCTATAACATTTATCGTGGCCCTGTAAAATATTATTGGATAAACTCATTTCATTCTTTTATAGAGCATTATTGAACAAGCTTATTTCACTTCTTGAAGAAACTTTAACATACAATGTAAATGATGAGCATTGGGATTTGATTTTAAAACTACGGAATGAAATGTACAACAAAAAGGAAAAACTTGTGGTAATATGCTATTGTTTAAAATAGTAATTTTTACTTAACACAATATTTTAAATATTTTTTTTATATAGTAAAAGCTTTCTGATGGTTATTTTATAAGCCATCTTATCAATGACCTTAATTTTGACATGTTTTAATCAATAATTTCTAAACCATACATTAATATCCAAGCAAAGTGGCTTCTAAAGCAATTAAATAAAATTTCAAATAAAATTTATTTTTTTTATATTATAACATATATAAATAATATTGTCTAATTTGATATCACAGCATATAAACGTATGCACGCGCGCGCGACACATACACACAAAATACAAACATGTAAAAATATATTGACAAGCATTATAAAAAAAATTATGCATAATTATATATAATGTGAATCTTTTTTAATTAGAAATTATCTGATTCTATGGAAGATGTGTACAAAATGGCAATAGCTGCCCATCAACTAAGTTCTTTATACGATATGGAAAATTTAAGCAACACACTTTTACAAAGAATAGATGATGCAAAGTGTAAAGTGAAAGCAGAAGCTGACAGTAATAAACAGTTGGAACACGCATACTGGCGTATGCAGGGGCAGTGTATTGAAGGCAGTAAGGAAAGAACCGAAAAACAATAGTACATTTTTCTAGGGAATGATTTTCGATTTCAGGAATGTGTTCTATGTTTAACTTTATAAAAGAAAAATTAAAAATTTGTGTCATATAGTAGATTGCTTGTATTAATAAAACATCTTCCTATCATATTTATTAAGATGTACTGTACATGGTTATTTGATCTCACATTCAATTATCTCAATTCTTGTTGTTATCTATTTTTCAGATGAAGATGCAGTTATTAAATTAAAGATATTTGGTGCACTAGAGATTAATTGTCCTCATATATTTTTCGTTTAGGATTTATGATATTTTTATGATAAAAATAACTAAAATATGCTTTGCTATTCCATTTTAGTCTAATTATATACTGAAAAATTATAATAAAGAGAATTTTTTTGCATTATTTATAATTTTTTTATATTTTTGAAATGAAATTAATCAAATAATACAAGTATGTTTGTTATATTTGATGGTTCAGTAATTAACAGTATTAACAATTAACAGCAGTATTTATCTTTTATTTTTTGCCTAACTAATGTTGCAAAAATTAAGTTTTTAAAAAGGCAAATATAATATATTCATATAATATCTATATTAGTAAATAATAAATAAGCATATATAGTGGATTATATATTTACAGTCTTATAAGAGCAGCGCGCCATTTTAAATATCAAGATGTATTGAAACAATGTGTCGACCAGGCACCATTACCAAGCCTAAAACTCTTGCTTCTGTATGTTCTGTAGACAGAAATTCAGTGCACGAGCCAAGGATGACATTGGCATCGCGATCAGTACATAAAAACGCTCCTCTTAAGACTCTTCCATCAGTCATTTCAATTCGTAAATGTCGATTAAGCCAACTTCTTAATTTCTGTAAAAAATATAATAAAAGATTAAAAATATTAATAAAAGACTAAAAGATAGAATTTACGGAATTACCTCTAAATTTCCATGAATATGCTCGTTGTTCACGATATTACTCAAATTATGCATTGTCTCTTTCATACTTGCACTCATTGCACTCTTCTTTATTTTTATTTACAAATATTTAAATTTTTTCTCAAATATATATATATATATATATACATACATATATAAGTATATTAGATAAATTGCATTCTCTTCACACAAAATTAATTTATACTTTTTCTCGCGATTATATATATGATTCAAATTTATTTTGATTTGCTCACTATTGGCCTATCCACATGAATTTCTACAGCAACATGGCGCCCATCTCATAAAAAGTCACATTATTGGTTACCTTCTCTGTGCATCTGCTTTCTCATGAATGTAGCAGAAAACAACGAGTGACGTTTGGTGTTGTGAACAAGAATTTTCTTGTTTTGCCTGCCGTTGTCAACTATTGACATGTTGACGTCCCTACGTCGAGCTTGCGGGCTCCTCGTGAGTGATCATTTGCGGAGACTTCATTATTTTTACATATTCATCGGAATTTTTTTTTTTTCTCTTATAACCTCAAATACCTTATATAATCTTTTATCCTTAATTTGTGTAAAACGACTCCGTAAAATTAGACAATTTGTTTTTTGTCGTGAAAACTTTGTAAATTAAATTTAATATTTTTATACACGCATGAAAAATAATAGTCTCTATATTTTATTCGATATATAAAATACACATAATTTTATTTAAATAGAATATTTTTTAAACATTTTTATCCCTTTTAAATTTAATTTTGTAAGTTTATACCAGAATAAGTAAAGGATAAAAATATTATTTAAAACCTGATAAGAGAGAGAGAGAGAGAGTCTTCTCTCTCTCTCTTTGTCCATTTGACATCTGTCACTTAATTCCTTACTCAATCACATGATCGTATTTAAGAGTAATTTCATTTTTCATAGGCTCCAAGAAATATTAGAGGAGTGCAAACAACAGTGAATCGCACATCAGATCAGCTGTTTAGTGTATGTAATAATAAATAATAATAATAAAAATTTCACTCACACACAGAATATTACATTGCATTCCAATTTTAGCATAGAGATAGTGAACATGACAATCCTAATATACCATTCGAATTCAATGAAGCAAATAAGAAGCGGATCAAAGCTATTCTCTCGATATATCCCGAAGGTCACAAACGTGGTGCCATGATACCTCTGTTGGACCTGGCGCAGCGGCAACACGGCTGGCTACCGATTTCCGCCATGCACAAAGTCGCAGAGATATTGGAGGTGCCGCATATGAGAGTGTACGAGGTAGCGACATTCTACACAATGTTTAATCGCAAGCCCATGGGCAAGTATCACGTACAGATCTGCACTTGTACACCGTGTTGGTTGAGAGACTCTGATTCGATAGTGAAGGCTGTGACAACGGCTACGAATTGCGAAATCGGCGGCACATCCGCGGACAAACTGTTCACGATTTCGGAAGTGGAGTGTCTCGGTGCTTGCGCCAATGCTCCGATGTTCCAAGTAAACGATGATTATTATGTGCGTATAATTATATTTTTAAATATAAGCGCAATAAATTTAACAGTAATGGAATATCTATTTTCGTATTCTTTTTCATAGGAGGACTTGACTCCAGAGACTGCAACAACTGTAATAAATGCTCTTAAGAAAGGCGAAAGACCTCCACCAGGTCCACAGAATTCTCCGAGATTTGCGGCTGATCCTGCAGGTGGACTTACATCATTAACATCTCCACCACCAGGTCCTGGATTTGGAGTTAGATCCGACTTGTAAAATATTTGTTTTTAGTAGGTCTACAATATATACATTAACGAATGTAAAAAAAAGTTATCAATAAACAATATATCAAAATATATATATATATTTATTATTTATATATATTGAAAAATATATTTTGATATAAGTCACTTTTATATATTTTTTTTATATTATAAACGAAATCTTTTTATATCTAAAAGTATTTAAATTTGCCATAATTCTTTTTCTCATATAAAATTCAATATAGTTAAATATCGTGTTTCTATTCTCATAAAAAAGTGGGTTTAGGTGAATCTTGGAAGCAAATAGTGAATACAAGCTGTGTTTGTCGCGTGAGAGTTCATATATCATTTATTATTAAGAAACATGATAAAAAAATTAGAATCGCTTATTCAAGAAATTTTATTGGCATAAAAAAATATATTAGTGCACATAAATATACCTACGTTTATCCAGCAATTGAGAAAGGTTATGCCGGTAAATACGTATCGAACAACGGCACAGGAATACTATATAAAAATTGTTAGAATTATTGACGTTGATTTGAATATTATGTAAAGTAAAAGAACGAAACGATGGATGAACCTGTCGCAACAACGGAAAAGTCGAAAAAGATAGAAGCTATAAATAAAAAAACTATTCATCATATTTGCTCCGGTCAGGTAAGGTTAAGTTTGTAAACAAATTTGTTAAAAAACAATTTTTTTCTTGTCATATAATAAACTGGAATCATATTATATAAATATCTCGCTAGGTAGTACTCGATCTCGCAATCGCTGTCAAGGAATTAGTGGAGAATAGTTTGGACAGCAATGCCACGGTGATTGATGTTAAACTTATTGACTATGGTAAAACCTGTATTAGTGTTAGTGATAACGGTAGTGGTGTTTTGGAACAAGATTTTGAAGGCTTAGGTAAGTCTGTTGATTAAAATAATGGTTAATAATAAAAATTCTTTTAAATTCTCACATATAAACAAAAATTACAAAATATTTTGTTTGGGAAACTTTAGTGTCTTCTATTTAGTGGAAAATAATTCTTAAAGTAATAAAAAATAATTTTTCTTTCTTTTTCTTTACTCACAGGCTTGAAACATCATACGTCAAAGTTGCGGGAATTTACAGACTTAACTGAAGTAAATACATTTGGTTTTCGTGGCGAAGCATTGAGTTCATTATGTGCCTTGTCTGAATTGAGTATTGTCACTAGGCATTCGACCAGCGAGCATGGCTTCAAATTGGAATTTGATAAAAATGGCGTGCTTACGAAAAAGGAGCCATGCGCTAGAGAAAAGGGAACCACAGTGCATATAAGGAATATATTCAAAAATCTACCTGTGAGAGCAAAAGAGTTTCAGAAAAATCTGAAGAAGGAATATGCACGCACAATCCAAGTCTTGTACAGTTACTGTTTAGTTTCTACCAATATCAAGATTGCGTGTTCCAATCTGATAGCAAGCAAATCACCTCATTTTATAGTAGCCACAAGAAACACAGACAGCGTGTTGGATAATATAAATTCGGTGTTTGGCAAAAAGTCTTTAGATGGGATAATTAAACTTGAATTACAACCTCCAGAAGAAACAACATTGCAAGAATATAATTTGCCTAACGACATTACAATAGACTTCGACTGGGAATGTTATGTGAGCACTTGTGATCACGCGATCGGACGTTCCTCGCCCGATCGACAATTTTTTTACGTGAACGGTCGGCCGTGCGATCTCACGAAAGTCAGCAAACTGGTGAACAATGTGTATCACAAGTATAATAATAAGCAATATCCGTTTGTTTTTCTAAATATAAAATTAAATCGGCAATGCGCCGATGTTAATGTTACTCCCGACAAGAGGACGATATTTTTCACGCAAGAACGTCTCATATTAGCAACATTAAAATTTAGTTTAACAGCAAAATGGGATAAATTGCAAGGAAATTTTACAGCCAAGCCTTTAACGGAGTTAAAGTTTGGTTTGAAAAGGACAGTTTCATCGAACTATGCTCATCCGCCAGCAAAAAGATTGCAAGTATCACCTTCAATATCGCATACAGCGAAAAATGATTATATTCAGACCAACATTAAATCAATGAAAGAACCTATAGATGTAGAAATGGTGATAAGTTTTACAATGATCAAAGAAAAACTAAAAGAAAAAGAAAAAGAAAATATTATTCAAACATCTGTTAATACAGAAAAAAGAATAAAATATAGAATACAAATGGAGGCCAATCAAGATGAAGCTGAAAAGGAATTGCAAAGAGAATTGACAAAAGATTCGTTTGGCAAAGTTAGTAACATATATACATACAATTTTTAAACAAATTTTTACTGCATAATTAATTAATGTACAGTTATAAATAATATATATGTAAATATATATATACTATATATTAATATTTAAAAAAAACGCATTGTACATTTGTGTTTTGAACTTAAAAATTTTTTATAGATGGAAGTAATAGGCCAGTTTAATCTCGGTTTTATAATAGCACGTTTAGAGAACGATTTATTTATCATTGATCAGCATGCTACTGACGAAAAATTTCGTTTCGAGAAGCTCAGTAACGAAACGAAATTGAAAACCCAAAAGCTCATCATGCCAAAGCCACTGAATTTCTCCACATTGAACGAAACGATACTCATAGAGCATCAACAAACGTTTGAGGATAATGGATTTACCTTCAATATCAACGAGCAAGGTACACACACACATATACGAAAATTTATAACTAATTCGATTTATTCTACTGTGAAAAAATTAATGAAATGTAAAATGTTATGTTGATTAAATGTTATTGCCATTTTACTCTCTCTCTTTCTCTGAAATTTACTGTAATAATTGTTTTAGCTGAACCTGGCAAGAAAATAGAATTAGTAGGAATGCCTGTTAGTGGTAATTGGCAATTTGGTCAAGAGGATATAGAGGAATTAGTATTTCTCATAAGAGAAGCAGGTAATGAAAATAAAGAGAAGCATATATATCGTCCTAGTCGGGTTAGACAAATGCTGGCGTCCAGAGCGTGTCGAAGTGCGGTAATGATCGGCACAGCTCTAAACACCAGTGAAATGCACAAGTTGATAATGCAAATGACACAAATGCAAAATCCATGGAATTGTCCGCACGGTAGGCCCACCATAAGACACCTATTGTCGTTATTATTAATAAATAAATGAGTAATCTATAATGTTTTCATAAATATATATTTTACAAAAACAATATTTAAACACACAAACGAATAATTCCGTAACTTTTATCCAAATCTGCATACAAAATTTTGATTATTACAATTAAAAAATTAGATAAAATAAATCTATTTGAAGAAAAAAACTGATTAAGAAAAGGAAATTTATATAGATATATTTTACATAATATATTGCCAAAGTTTTTATATAAATATTTTTCTGTTATTCTAAAGAAATATTCATTTATATGCTAATTGTACGGAATATGTTGAAACCTGAATGTGCAGTCGATATCATAGTTCCTGGACATTGCGGGTGCCAGTGTAATTCTTTGATATCCGACTGACCTTGATGTATGAATAACAGTTGCGGCGGCAACTTGGCCAATTCATTGTCTTGTGGTTCTTCTGTATGATCTACTTCCACTGACAAATCCCATTGTGTGACTACATCGTCGGCTCCTCCGGAAGCAAACACCGTGGCTTCTGTTGGATGCCATTCCACACTGGTAACTGGCGCGATATGTTGTTTGAAAGTAGCGACTGGGCTTGCACCATTAGCTCCAAACTGTCGTAAATCCCATACACAAAGCAGCCCGTCGTCTCCGCCTGATATAATAAACTGACTCTCTTTCGGATTCCACGAGATAACATTGATATCGGCTGCATGAGTGCCAGACGCCGTCAACATGCACGCATTCTGTGGACTCGCTCGAGTGTCCCAAATTTTTATGCTGTTATAAGAAACAAATTAATCTTTATGATATAATTTACAAGATATAGAAAATATATCAGAAATATAGAAGGAATATATATACCTTTTATCTACTGAACATGATGCCAGTACATTCTTTTCATTTGGTGACCATTGCAAATCTTCCACACTGTGCGGGGCATGCGAATTGTACGGCCTTTGGTCTACATGCCAGAATGCACCGGTACTGTCAATTCGCCATATGTGTATGTTACCTTTGCAATCGCCAGATGCTAGAGTGCCCGCTTCTGTACAGCTCCAATCGAGACCGAACCCTTCAGAGAGATGGCCTTTGAATGTATACAATGGCCTAATACCTCCATCTGTTTTGTCACACTTGTTACGATATGCAGTTAATAAGCTGGGATTTTCAACTGCATTTAACTGCTCTTGCAAATTCCAAATATTTACACGTCCCAATTCGCTCCAACTAGCAGCTAGTTTTGTTTCACCAAGTTTTGTACATCTACAAAAGTTACAAATTATGAAAATGTCTCTAAATATGTATCTTTCTCACAAGTCTTTGTCAAAAAATACTTTTCTATCTGAAATACCTCACTCTGTTAACACATCCGTGGTGTCTTATAGGTGCAACATTCATAACTGGTCTATGTTCGTCATTCTCATCTTCCGAATCACTCGATTCGCTTTCTGAATCTTCAGAGCTCTGCCTAGTACCATGTAAATTGGACATTTTCATGACAAGAAGATTATTGACGTGCGTCTTGGCAGCTTGTGTCCCAGCAACTATATACATGGTCAAAGGATAGCTCTCCCTGCAGTTACCTAAATCATCTGGTATTATGTCGAAGCTGAGACATGGTGCGCCAGATTGTGCGTGATGCAATAATCTGTACGCCGACTTATCGGCAACAAGTTCCTCTCCCTCTTCCAAGGTCTGTCCTGGAAGGTACACCTTCGATTCAGTCTCCTTCTGATTCTCGTTCGTGTTTTCCATGGATTCGTCATCACTGCTCTCACTGCTCTCATCTTCATTCGCGACACCCTCCATCGGTTCTTCCTCCATTTCCTCGGGTATATCTTCGGAATAGACAGGCATCTCGGATAGACAATGTTAACTATAAGGGTGAATTTTATAATTCCTAATATTTTAATTCCTTAATAAAATACTTGAAATAATTCGTTTATTCTGTTGAAAATGCTAATGTAAAAAAATAAATATATATAAAATATATATAAAAATACATATAAATACGTATATAAAATATATATTCTAACCTAACAGAGTGTCGATTATAAAATATAAATTATAGTAATATAAATATTATAATTAGTTAAATATATTTAACAAAATTAAACATGTACTCACCTGAAGGGTCTATGTTCGTCATTCTCATCTTCCGAATCACTCGATTCGCTTTCTGAATCTTCAGAGCTCTGCCTAGTACCATGTAAATTGGACATTTTCATGACAAGAAGATTATTGACGTGCGTCTTGGCAGCTTGTGTCCCAGCAACTATATACATGGTCAAAGGATAGCTCTCCCTGCAGTTACCTAAATCATCTGGTATTATGTCGAAGCTGAGACATGGTGCACCAGATTGTGCGTGATGCAATAATCTGTACGCCGACTTATCGGCAACAAGTTCCTCTCCCTCTTCCAAGGTCTGTCCTGGAAGGTACACCTTCGATTCAGTCTCCTTCTGATTCTCGTTCGTGTTTTCCATGGATTCGTCATCACTGCTCTCACTGCTCTCATCTTCATTCGCGACACCCTCCATCGGTTCTTCCTCCATTTCCTCGGGTATATCTTCGGAATAGACAGGCATCTCGGATAGACAATGTTAACTATAAGGGTGAATTTTATAATTCCTAATATTTTAATTCCTTAATAAAATACTTGAAATAATTCGTTTATTCTGTTGAAAATGCTAATGTAAAAAAATAAATATATATAAAATATATATAAAAATACATATAAATACGTATATAAAATATATATTCCAACCTAACAGAGTGTCGATTATAAAATATAAATTATAGTAATATAAATATTATAATTAGTTAAATATATTTAACGAAATTAAACATGTACTCACCTGAAGAAATATCACGACGAATCTATTATCAATATTATTTCTTTCTTAGACACGAAATTAAAGAAAAAACAGCATTATATATCAAACTACAACCACGTGAGAATTCGCTTATTCGCGCATGCTCGTCACTCGTCATTGCCCGTATGCCCGTATAAGGGTGCGTTCGAAAATCCTACTCATGAGGTAAAACTACTCTACCCTACAAGTAGGATTTCCGAACGCACCCTAAAATTATCCGTTTAGACTAGAGGGGAGAGGGGGTGTATATATATAGCTTTAAAAAAATAAATAAATATAACAAAGTGCAAAAATGAATTAAAAAAATAAACGTTTGTTCTATTTGTACTTATTTCATTTAAAGTGAAAATTATATTGCATTGGTGGGAAAGTAATTTCGTTTTTCGCACGTTTTTTTAATAAAAAAAAACGAAAACTCTCATCAATCTATATAAACTTTATGTTACATTATATAATTATATAAGTATTATATATAAAATAACTCAAATAGCAATACTTTGATATTTTTATCGGGCAAAGGGTACAAAGCAATATTTTTGTGTGCGCGCATTTTCTTTATATACTTTGCAGAAATCATTACAAAATTTATTCAAGAAGTTAATATACAAAGTACATAATTTATCATCCGTATGCTAACAAGTACATAACTTTTTCTCTCTTCGCCTCTTGAGAAAATGTAGAAAAAGTTACCAAGATATTCGCACAACTGTGTTGGAGCCAGGCTATGCGATGCATGGAAAAGGATCATGTGTATGACATTCTACGTATATATTAGGCACAAACACTAAATATAATAATGAAACCATTGACTTAATTATTCTTCTCGCACATTCGATAAAAAATCACATCAGAAATGAGAACCTGTCTACAAAAAAGAAAGTGTTTCTTTATGAAACAATTTATCATCAACAATCTATATAAGTAAACATAATACAATAATAATAATAATAATAATTAACCTAAGAATAATATCATGATAATAAAGATAAGCGTAGGTAATATAAATTTATATGTATAAAACACAGCAGAGAGTAAATTGTTACCGTGAAATTCCCTTAAGGGGAGAAAGGAGGAGTAACAGCGAGACTTCATGGCGATAGAATTTTCGATAGAAATGGATGATTCACGACGATATTAGCTGTGTTCACTTAAACGTGAATTGTTACTAGAGTTATTCATTAGCTCGATAGATGCCATCGTGGAGTGCGAATGGTTGGACAGCTGAGAGGTGGGATTATGTCGAGGATTAGTATTGTGGAGGCTGTGCAAGTAAGAGCGCTGGACGGGCTTGTGCTGGCCAAGTTGCAGCAGGGCCTCCGGTATGGTGAACCATTTTCTCTTCCGACCGATAGCACGCGAGTCCTCCCACTCTGGCAATTCCTCGGTCACTCGCATAACCCACACTTCCGTTCTGTGTTTGTGTTCTGTGTTCTGTAAAGGGAGATCGGCGTGTTTCAGGCAACGTATCGAACGCGACAGAAGATTACGATACATGATCGATGCATAAAACGCAGCGCATGTAACAAAAGAGAGTTTTTCAGCAAGAAAACACAGATAGACCCAATGTCACACAATTGGCTATTAAATAGAGAATTTTTAAAGACCCTAAAGTTTTTCTATTTGACAGCTAATCATATGATTTTGTGTTTCTTGCTGAAAAGCTCCCATTGATAGAGCATAACGGAACATCTGTTTGCATGGCATACATCATGGGTTATAACCTCAAATGTTCCAAGGCAACGGCCTAATTGTCCTAGAACGCCAGCCTCTTCCCGGACCTCGCGAAGAGCCGTGACAGATGGTTCCTCCTCAGGTTCCACACCGCCGCCTGGTACTATCCAACTGTCGGGTCTTCGACTAGATGTAACTAATAGTACCTGCAATTCACAGGGAAAAAGAATAACGATGTGAAAAACTATGAAAAAGAATTCGCGCTTGATTCGTCTTGGTGATAAGTCCAGCTCGATCAGCTGATCGAGAGAATCGGCTGTCTTTTGCGAGAAAAAAAAACAATTGGCTCTCGAGAACACGAGGGACACGTGCCGGCAAAAATATCGGGAGCTGCCATCTGCTGGCTGGCTTACCTCGTCCTCGAGATCGTTTTTGACGCAGATGCAGGCAGCTCTACGTCTGTAGCCCTCGGAATCGTAGATGCGGATCGAATTCGCCTTCTCCTTCACCATGTTGTTGTACCGTGGACACCTTCTTTTCAGACCCCTCCGTGAATTCATAAATAATCGTCAAACGGCCCGACGGGCCATCCTGTGCATCCGCGTCGTCCTAATGTCGTTTGTAGCCGACATATTATCGACATCGAGTCCACTTTGCCGTACGTATAACGAACGTGAATGCCGAATTCACGTCAACGAGGGGGGTTTGCTGCTGCTGTTGTCGCTGCAACTGGCTGCGGCTGTGCGTCACTCGAGACCACGTCTGGGATACCACGTCTCTTCGCTCGCGACGACGAAACGTGTCTGCCGAAGTGCCGACCTATGGTCGCCCGCGCGTATAACCCGCGATTAGAAACCCGATCCTCGCCGGACAATATCCTTGGTATAACCTCAAAAATCTTCCCAAGCCGCCATCGACCAACCACCGGTCAGCCCTCACCACTGCGCCGCGTCGCAGCCAATTCAATCCCTATTCCCTATGCGTTTCCTTGAGCCTTGCACATAGGATGCGATAAGAAGCGAAATCGCCGATAGCTAATTACATATTCCTTATTCCTATTCACGAAAAAGTGGGAGATGCACACTTCTGAGCCACAAACGTATAGATATATATATCTATGGAAAAAATAAATACAGAATTAAAAAGTAAAATCACAGAGAGAGAAAGAAATTGTGTATACACCAGTATTAGAAAATTAATAAAATCATTTTGGATTTTATTTTAACCGACATGTCAGACGGTCATGATGCATGAATGTCTAGATTCAAAAGTGCTTAGTTTCAAATATAAGAGAACACATTATAAAATGTATATATATATATATATATCGTTCCAATATGATAATTAAACCACAAATTTAAATTCTGGTTACTGTAAAAAAATCATTCAAAACGATTTTTCTTCAATACTAAACTTGTAATTTGATTATTTATTTTACATGAAATATTCGTTTGAAATAGCAAATGTTAATATAAACATTTTTTTAATGATTAAGAGGGGTTTTAACCCATTTAATGTTTTCAAAAATTTTTAAGAATATTTTCAAAAATATTGTCTGATTATTGGGCTTGTCTGCTCATACAATATTAAATTAATCAATCGAGAAAAATAATTTTGGATTTTTGTTAATCAACAAGTATATAAGTGTATATATATTTATCCCATTAAAGTTATTTGATAAAAAAAACCTTTCAGTTTTTAATAAAACTATAAATTAATTATATTTTCAAATTTTATAGAGATCGATCGATTATATCGCATTGATATCGATTTAATGTCGATATAATGATTGATTTGGAAAAAGTAATAGAAGCTAAGTTTTAAGTTAAAATAATCGTGCTATTCATAATTTATGTTAGCCTTAGATGCACTTACAGTGGGTATAGTCATCCTTTCATGCTGCTGAATCACATATGTAAAGACAGGTCGAAAGAAAGTCGGATTGAGTTTTCCATGACAGTCGATAAGGAAAGGCTATTAGATAAAAAACATTTCTACACAATATGATTCACCTAAATATATGAGATATGTAATATCTTATACATATTTACATAACGAGTAAAATGTAGCAAGAATTTTTAATCAAATTAAAATAGAAGTGTCTAAATAAAATTCTCGGAATATTAATAATTAAAACTTAAAATTAAGGGATTTTCGCGTTTATCTTCGAATTATATGTGCGAATAAATGATCAAGTTTTATTCTTTTATAAATTATAAGAAAATTTTACCCTAAATATAATTTTAATTAAATTCAATACGAAAAATGTAAAAAAATTATGTTTGATCCAATTTCGAAGATAAGAAAAAAAATCGACGTTAGCTTAGCCAAAACTTAATTGTACGGAGCATATGTACGGACTTATCATCTCGTGTATATTACAATTGTCCAAAATATTTACCCGTAATTTATCGCGATAGGCACGATTCATCGTGCTGTTGTTCGCACATAAAAAAGCAGCTCCTAAAATTATATTGTGTAAATCGCGCGCGCGCGAACATATAGCTTATAAACTATATATTTAAGTCAATATAGTGTTTTATACATGTTACAAATGTTTCAATACAACCTGTATATCGACAATTACAATCCTGCGAGTTTAGGCTTCCTCCGCCTTTCGCGATTTCTGTATTTTACGGAGCTAAGCTACGCACTTTTGGGCTCTCGCGATTTATTTTATTTGTAATAATGTGATCAGATCGTCATTGTTATAGAGCCCTTTTGGGTAGAGGAATTCCGTACTGTACATCTTAAAAAAATATATAATTATATGATATTGAATTGGCATCAAGATGTCCCAAAAATCAAATGTCTTTTTTTTACAGATTCTTCAATTGATTTTATTCGATAAAAAATGTCCGCACATAGGATGTCCCATCAAAAGTGGTCACCTCCTTTTATCTTTTAAACTAAAAGGGGGTAACCATTTTTAGTAGGACACCCTGTATATAATTGAATAATAGAAAGCTAGACATTTCTAGCAATTTGAGGAAAAAAATTGATGAAATCTGTTTTATAAATAATTTTAAATGGCATTTACTTTAGTACAATTTTATATAATTTATGTATATATCAAACATCTAAAATTTTTGTTAAAAGAAACTGCGATGGCTCTGGGACACGTACTTTGCGTATCTCGAGTAATGGAAAAATAAAATCTCGCATGAATTTGTTATTATTTGGTCAGATTTTTTCTTTTTTTTAATAAGACTCCGACAGATGAATTATTATGGACTTTTCGTTTCAGCTGCACTTCTTGCATTTGGTTTGTTCCCGCTTACCTTATTCTTTCAAGCCTCAAAATATATACCTTTTTTATTTTTTAATACAGAAAAAAAATACAAGAAGATACAACAATAATTATAAGACGAACAGATTCATTTAACACAATACGGAATACCACCACAGGAACGAGAGAGAGGCGACACACGTGCTACATGTACATACATACAATGTATGGTTCCCTCTTCTTCCCGTGAACCTGTCGTGCGTGCTATAAGATACGCGATCTATTTGCGTTTCTCCTCGTCTCACTGCGCGTTACCCTCGATTTTCTTTCTCGCATTCTGTCTTTGTATATAATCGGCGCGCAAACCTTACATATCGTAAAATCGATAAATGACAAGTCGCGAAACAATCCACGCTTCAATCAGTATAACGAAATGCAAAGAAAACTTCCTTGCAACATGTTATCGCTATTTTATTGATGTTCTCATAATTTTATTCCGAGTTCTTTACATGTGTTTTTTTTTCTTCCTCTTTTTTTTATTTCTTTACGAAACCGGACCTATCGTCTCTACGATCACTTACCTCTCGTAGCTTAAAAAAGGTACATACATACATATATATGTACATATACATATAAATATAAAT